GGCTCCGAGGTCGAGTGGCCGCCGTGGCCTGAGCAGGACCCCAGCGGCCAAGTGAAGCCCGCCCCCCCCCCCCCCCCCCAGCCGATGAGCATGACTCGCCAGCGCCAGAAGAAACAAGGCCGCCTGCATCGCCGACGGCAGCGCCACCAGCGCCGAAAGACCGTCAGCTCATCGAGAGGTTCACGGCGCTGAGTGGCGGCGGGCCAGGCGTCGCGCCGACGGGCCCCTACAATCACGAGGCGAGCCCGAGGGTTGAGAATGAGGAAAACAAACGTGAGAATCACCCTCCACGAGCGCGGGGCGTCATCAACCTCATCATCAGCCACGCCATCATCACCGTCACAATCATCAGCGTTGGCGCGCCACCAATCCTCCATCGCCATCGCAGTCGTCGCCAGCAGCGCCATGCCCATCGCCGTCGTCGTCATGTAATCCTCCTTCACCCCGCCCCTCCACCCTCTCATCCATCCTCTCCTCCACGGCCCGTTGCCCATCAGGCGCGCGTCGATGTTGTCGCCCCCTCGCGGGGCGGAGGCGGCCCGATGATTCCGCGCGCGAGCCCCTCGGGCGCGCCGCCGAAGCCTCGGCGCCAGCGCCCGAGGGGGTCGCACTTCGTCGGCGCGAGCCTCGCCGACATGAGCTCGAGGACGCAGGCCATTGACGAGGCAGCGATGCCCCCGTGCGCCGAAGCGTTGCGCATCCTCCCCCTCGCATCCCCCTCGCCACGCTGCCCTTCTTGGCGACGGTCTCGAGGATCATCTTCTTGACGTGCTTGCTCCACAACGCTGACTTGCCTCCGTCGTGCTCGAGGCGTCGGTGGCCTCGCCGCTCGACTGGCACTGGCGCATCTCGGCGCTGCCAGCCTTCTCGGCGATGTACTCCAAGTACGTGTTGTTGTCCTCGAGCAGCTTGATCTGCTGCTTGAGCAGCGCCACGACTTGGCTGTCCTGGGCCTCGGAAAGCCCGGCGCTGCTCTTGGAAAGAGACATGACGAGGCTCGAAAGGCTGCGGCTGAGGCCCGAAAGGCTCGAAAAGCTCAAAGCAGGGGCTCGGTGGCTCGAAAGGCTCGAGCCATAACTGCTGCGGGCGGGAGCAGGAAAATTGTCCGTTTCGCTGGAGACATCCTCGAGCAATTGCTCGTTTCGCTTGAGATAGCCTAGCGCAAATCCCTCGCTTCGCTTGAGACATCCTCGAGGAGTCTCTCGTCTCGCTTGAGACATCCTCGAGCAATTGCTTGTTTCGCTTGATCCATCCTCGAGAACCCTCTCGTTTCGCTGAAGACATCCTCGAGCAGTTGCTTGTTTCGCTTGAGAAACCCTGAAGACATCGTTCGCTTCACTTGAGGCGTCCTTCAAAAATGATTGGTTCCGCTTGAGACAGCCTCGACAAATCCCTCGTTTCGCTTGAGACATCCTCGAGCAACTGCTTGGTTCGCTTGAGACGTCCTCGAACACATCTCTCGTTTCGCTTGAGACATCTTCGGACAAATCTTCGCTTCGCTTGAGACGTATGCTTGTTTCGCTTGAGGAATCCTGAACAAGGCTCTGGTTTCGCTTGAGACACCCTCGAGAAGAATTGTTGGTGCCGCTTGAGACACTCATAAGAAATTTATCGTTTCGCTTGAGACCGTCTTGGGATCTTAAGGCGTTTCGCATGAGGCACCCCTCGAGCTTGTTGACTTAGCGCCAGCGCCTCCTCGAGCAACCTACTGACTAGGGCGCGCACTCGAGCGCCCACTCGCGCTGGAAACGCTCGGCGAGCGCCTCTACAACCGGCTCGGGCTCAAGCTTGTTGCGCTCGCCGTCGTCGCCCTCGGGCTTCTCGTCCTGGCCCTCGCCTTCAGGCTGCAGTGCCGACTTGCGGCGCTTGGCCGTCTGCCAGTCTCGCCTTTCCTCGTTCTCGCTGCTGCTCGCGACCTCGAGCAACTCCTTGTTGCGCTTCTGGCCCTTGACGTCCTCGAGCGGCTTATCGCCCCCGCTCGCCTTGACGTCCTCGAGCGGTTCCTCCTTCTGTTCGCGTTCCTCGAGCTTCTCGCACACCTTGACTGTCTCGAGCGGTAGCTGGGCGTCGATCTCGAGCATCTCTCCCTCGTCGAAGGAGCTCGGCAGAGACATGCTCGAGACTTTGGGCCTTGGCGCCTTGGTGCGTCGGCTTGAGTCTTCGTTTGTGAGTATCTTGGAAAGCTCGAAATCTAAAGCCACCAAATGACTACGGAGATTGTCATTGCTCGCTTCGCTTGAGACGTCCTCGGAATAAACTGGTTTTGCTTGAGACTTCATCGACAAATCTCTCGCCTCGCTTGAGACATCCTCGAAGAACTGTTGGTTTCCGCTTGAGACATCCTTGAACAACTGATCGTTTCGCTTGAGGCTGTCTCCAACAAATGTTGATTTCGCTTGTGACATCCCCGGCAGCGCCTTCGCTTCGTTTGATGTTGCTATCTCAAGATAAGAAGGAAGTGAACCTCGATGGTGAACTTTTCACAGTGATAAAAAATATCGGCCTCCGCGCCCCGCGCCCCTGACCACTCTTCTTGGCCGTGGATTATCAACTCCAACGTGGAAAGGGGGGGTCCTGTTTTTTCATCATCGGCACGCGGTTAAACCATTGGCCTGCGCGTCCTCATCGCACTTGACTAACAGCAGCGCCTTTCTCCAGAAAGCGCCGTCGCGGTCGCGCGCAACTGCTCTGCCCCCGGCAGAGCCCGCGCCCAGCGCGCTGAGGTCCTCGAGCGCGTCTGGCGCATAGCCGGACGCGCAGTACCCATAGGGACTCAGCTCCTCAGGGCAATGCCCCCGCTGCTCGCCCCATCCATCATCGGCAGTGTAGAAGGCGCGTTGCGGCCTGGGGAAGTGCACCTTGTCCTTGCCCTTGCTCCTGTTATGATAGCTGGGTCTGGGCCGCGTCCACGTCGAGGAGCTGGGGCCTTTATCGGACTCACCCATTGCCATTTTTGGCGGATGCGTGCGCGGACGTGCTGGGGGATCCAGACGGCCTTGATATTGTCGAAGGTTGTCACAATTCCTGTGGGTGTCAACGCCATCAGATTTTCCGAAGACGAGAGGCCTGCATGGTCCAAGAGAAGGGAGTCAAACATATCGCCGCTCATCAAAACCTTATGATCTAATTTGGAATCAAGTTTCCACCAACGCTTCCTTCGGGAGATGTACGAGGCCATAGACTCACCCTGCTACCGAGACAGTGCTCCATACGGTCTCTGCCCCACCTGGAACAGGACCTTCGCTTCCTGCGCTTCTATGGGGAAGAGTGAAGTACGAATCGCCAGCACCAGCTGATCGATCCCATTCGGAGAGTCAGAATCACGTCCTTGCCGATATCCATGGCAAAATGACAGCTGCGGTGATCACGTGTTGTTGTGGTGCACCCGTCTCTTGATCCACAAAGACCAAAACGGCACTCATGCGCATCTCTGTGCGGAATTCCCACTCGTGAGAATTGTTCACCGTGCCGTCGTAGATTTAACAATCACCCTTCGTCTCGGACCGCGTCAGCGCGTCGGCGCTCGGCCGATAGCGAAAAGAAGAAAGCGCCATGGCGCAAGGTTCAGTCCCCTAGCGAGGGGAACTGCCAGTACAGAAAGTAAAGAGGAATAGTGCGACACTCTCTGACGAGACGTGCGCGCAGTGGTTCGCTACAGGGATCGTGTGGTAGCGCCGCTACCAGTGTGATTACGATGCGTTTCAGCGCAATGGCAGAAATGGGCCCCTAGAGGTCAAACGGCAGCGAGTGGTGCATATACGCACGTGACACATTCACCATCTCACAGGCGCCATGAAATCTGGGGAAACATCATGGCCCACGCCATGATCTCCACCCCCCCTAGTCATCACCACCCTCTTTGCCGCCCCCGCCCCCTCGTCTCCTCCCGCCTGGCAGCACAGCCTTCCCGGGACCAGCGTGGCGGCATGCAGGGCACCACGGAAGGCCGCCGTCGTCTCCACCGGCCCTCGCCGAGGAGGCGCGCCGAGCTCTGACCTCCGGGCCCCTCGGGCCACACCTCTGGCCCCCAGCGGCCGCTCGAGACGGTCCGGGAGCCTCCGGCACGCTCTCGGCAAAGCCCAGGCTGCTGGAAGGCACCACGAGGCTGGAGGGCCGTCGAGAGGCGACGAAAACGCCCGAAAGCCCCAAGCCTTGAATTCGAACCTTCGAACGCCCCCCCCTAACGTTGCCCCTCAATCTCAGCCCAAATCCATGGGGCACCCAAAGGCCGTCGGACACCCAGAGGCTGAAGAACCTCCGAAGACCGACGAACACGCGTGAGAATCCCTGATTGCCTCTAACCCATGGGGAGCGGCCGCTGTCTTCCCCGAGATCCGCCGTTGCGAACAAATTGAAACATAGAGAAAATCACGACAAGAACCCCGGACCCCATCTTTCTGCAGCATTTCTCAAGCCAAGCTGATCTGTCATGGTCCCAAGGCCCGAAACTGGGCGGAAATGTCCCGTGTGAAAACATGCAACGCCCGGATCTCAGTCTGGTGCCATCGGTAGGTCTGGGAACGCTCTTCTTGGGGGCGAGCGGAGGTGCCCAGCCACTCCCAACGCCGGTGGGCCGCGCGCGAGCGACAGCGCCGAATGCCGATGGGCGAGCCCGAGCGCGTGAATCCTGCCGAGTCCGACTGGTCTTACGCCGAGCAGCAGGAGCTCCAAACATCTGGCGCTCCGTGTCTCTTCGACGCGTGGCCCCCTGGTGGGCTGGATCACTTCCCCAGGGCCCCGGGCCATTTTTTCATCTTGAATCGGTTTCTGACGGTCCCGGATGCCGAGAACTGCCCCAAACTACCACCCTCCAAAGGCCTCGGCGTCGTCCTCCCTGGGGCGCAAACTGCGCCCCAGCCCCAGCCTGGCTTCTGTGAGAAATGCTCAGAGTCTTCGGGGAAGGCCTCGAAAACACCTCAGAACCCCGAGGCCTTCCGAGCCTTCTGAGACGGCCCGTCCCCTCTCACTTCCCCCCCGGGCTACAGCCCCCCCCATGAGGCCTCGGCGTCGGCCTCCCCAGGGCGCAAACCGCGCCCACGCGGGGGGGGGCGCCCGCGAGACGCCAACGGGCCGCGGCCCGCCTGCGGCCGGCGCGCCGCTGCGCGATCGGGGCAGCGGGGGTCTCCGGGGTGGAGGGGGGAAGGATAAAAGGAGGAGGAGAGGAGTTTCGGCCAGACGCTGCGAGCCCCGCCGCTCAGGGTCTGGCAAACGACACGCAACGAGGGAGGGAGGGAAGAGGAGGGCCCCGCCCCCCCCCCACGTCACAGGTATGACGAGGTATGGACCCATTCCCCAGGATCGGCTTTTCATCCTGAAACGTTTTTTAAAAAACAGTCCTAAGGAATGGCCAGGGACACGGGAGGCCGAATTTGTTCCATGACTCGAGGGGGTCTAGGGAGGCGGAGGAGGACGGATGGCGCGTCGCGACGGGCAACCAGCCACCCGCCCGAAGCCTCCTGCCGCCTCAGCTTGCCTTTGTGCGGGCCGCCGCAGGCTCTACCAAGCGAGGGGCTTCGGCCGCCTTCTCTCCTCCGCCTTCCGCCTTATATTAATGTTGGTTTGGGACTCCGCTGGGGATCATCGGAGGACGCCGTGGGACGAGACGAGAGAAGCAAGACAGGTGAAACCGAATGGGTGAGACGAACGGGGTGCAGCTGGACAAAGCGTGTGCCATCACACGATCAGCAGCAATACTGCGATCATCATCCGCCCCCTAACTCCATGTGCTCACCCAATCCTTCGCTGCCTTCCTCCCGCTGCCTCTCTTCCTCTCTCCTCGGAGATTCGCAGAACACGCTTTGCCAAAGCGCCCTCCAGTGAAAACTGAAAGGCAAACTCCACGTGCGCACGGCACCGCATTCCGAGTGAACCTCAGCGGGGCGGCTTTAGCGACGTCCAAAACCAACTGGATGTATCCACCGAGACGCACGTCGATTTGCGGAACCGACTGGGGACTGCACCGGTGCACTCGAACGCCAATGTCGGGTGAACTGGCGCAGATGTCCTCAGTCGACCTGTGCGGGCGGGCGTTCTCTCAATGCCCGGTGTGCTTTCCCGCGTGAACGACCGCCCGCTCTGAGCGCGACTCCGTCCTGCGTCCTCCGCCGCGGCCGACGGCGCAAGACGTCGGGAGCGCTTCGGGATGGGGGAAAGGCGCAGGGGCCGACGGCGCAAAGCATCGTAGGAACTAGGTTTGGGAGATGGCCACAGGCCGACGGCGCCAAACGTCGGGGGGGCTGGGGTTGGAGGGATGGCGCAGGGGCCCTTTTCCTCATGTTCCTGCAGGTTTGGTGGTGCGCACATGGCGCTGCAACGCGTCCTGGCTGCTGGTGCCCGTCGCGTCGTGCCCCACGTCGCCGACGGATGTGTCTCTCTCTCTCTCTCTCTCTCCCTCCCCGCTCCTGGCCCCACCAGTCCCCCGAAAGCGCCCAACTCCACCCACCTTCTGCCGCGAGCGCAGTGGGACGTGGAAGAATGCCCGATCGTTGCCCTGGTGGGGCTCGGGTTGGTTTGAGGAGGGGCTACCTCTCGCAAAAAACAAGCTCGGGAGACCGCCCCGCCAACGCGGGCCAAGACCGTCCCAAGATAGCTGGTAGTCGGTCTCGAGACGAAACCAAACAGCCGCAATGTGAGCCCACGAAGGCCCACATACCCAGGCGCCCAAGGAGGCGAGGTGCCTATTGTTGGTGCGATGTCGCAGAAGAAACCCCTGCTCCTGCCGAAACATGTTTTGTTCTGCAATGTTGCGAAGTGTTTTTTGAAGGCCTAGGCACGTTGTGCGCACGTCGCAAGAAGGCCAGACCCACCCTTTGAGCTGAAGCCACGAATCCAGGTAAGGGGATGCGATGAGGGGGAACGACTAAGGGGAGGGTTCCGTCCCCCGGATACTGGTGTTGCCACGATGTGATGTCCCTGGCGTAGTGACACGGCCGCGTGGACGGTTCCCGCGGTGACATTAACCTGACCGCCACGAGCTCAGTCGCGGACGGGAAGTCGTTTCGATCTTATTGCTGCCAATGTGCAAGGCTGAGCGCAATAACAGCATCAAGTACGAAGCACTGCAGTAAACATGCTGGGGCCACTAGAAGCCATGCTTCGCTCCCTCGCACCACCTCCCAAATCTGCGCGCAAACTCTGCACTTCTTTACCCGTGAGTCCCTGGGTGGACCAGGATGGGACACGACGGTAAACCTCGGACCAGATATTTCCACGTGCGTCCGCTGTGGAATTGGGCATCTTAAGCCAAATGGCTACAGACTCGCCTCGGGGGAGCGCGAACAAGCAAGAAGAGCAACCACATCTGGGAGGCCTGGCTGTTTCCCGTGTTCCGCGATCAACGCGTGCCTCTTATCTGCCGCGATCGCCGCCGACGCGGGCCGCGCGCAGCTGCCGCAACAGATCGCTCGAGGGCCCCGAGAGCCAGGGCCCACAATTCGAAAAATCGTGAGGCTATGCTAGAGCAGGTCGTGCACGAACAACCTGCGCGGGCATCTGGCCAAAGTTGCTCCCTTCCTGTTCGGCCGTCCCTGCCTCCTGTAAGGCTTCGCTCTCTCCTTTGCAGTCTCTCTCCCAGTCTCTCTCTCCTCCCCTGCCTGCACACATCCATCCCTCATCTCCACCACGTGCTGGGCTCAACAGCGGAGGCTACAGATTTCTGCAGCCTGTCGGAAGTGCACGACTTGACGAGCCTTGAATTTCGACGGATATCTAATTCACAATGCAAGCGGGTGAAAAGATGCTGGACCGTCCATGCCAGTAACAGCAGGCGCGTTGATCCTCAGCGCAGTCTCTGCATCTGATGCAAAGACATGAGAGGTTGCTACGTACACGCCGCCTCATACCACCAACGCGCACATCACTTGCGACTGGAAGGTTCCCCCCCTACCCCCCCCCCTACACACAACTGGCAAATCACAGTGTCTTGGCATGGGAAAGCCACCAGCATCGTGACAAGCAGATCAAGGCGCGGCTGACAACACTTGCGTAATAGCAGTGGCGCCACGTGAAGCACAAGCTCATGCAATTATTTATGCAGGCTTGGATCAAGGCAAAAAACAGTTTGATATCTAGCAGCGATGAAAGAACAGGCAATCACAGCGGGAACTGGGGACTGCCCGTGGCAGAGGTCGGAGAGACCCATGGGGACAGATACGTGGCTAGTTGGTATTGTGGCATCGCGCGCGCCACTGTCATAATGAAGAAATTTGGAACGCACGATGCACCCAAAAACTATACGACCGGGATTAAGCTAAGCGGTGTTATCCGGAGCTGTCACACATCAGTGTGGTTCTCGCACCTTGCGCTGTGCAACAAACGTGATTCAATCTACGCGGTGTGACATACACGGGGCCATCCACTCAGAAAGCTTGCAATTTCCAAATCCACAACTCACGCGATCACGCGATCATCCCACCCACTCACCCGCAAATGGGTTTTAAAAACAATATGGCGGCGACTGCGCCGGGTGCTTAACATTGGCTGGCGCATCATGGCGGCCGCGCTGGCGGGCGCACGTTCGCGCGCACAACGGCCAACTACTTTGGCGCAGCCGACGCGGCCGCGGTGGCGATGACCGTTGGTGGTTCCCCACCGCGCCGCGCAGGCCGAGCTGCACGGAACAAATAGCAATGCGAATCGGTAAACCGGGCGGGCGCAGTAGTGGCGACGTCGACAAGGGCATGCACGAACATGATAGTAACGATTGTGGTGGCGATGCCGACAATGACGACGGAACGGCCAATGACGGCGCCGATGCTGATCATGCAAACAGCGGTGATGGTGTCCACGTGTCGGCGATGGCAATCAGAATGTGGACCGGACTTCAAAAAGCGCGCGCGGCCCCACTGCGCGCGGATGGCTCGCATGTTTCCGTTCGACGGGGATCGCGTTTCCCCCCAGCACACGCGCGGTGGTGCTCGAATGCTTCCAACACGCGCGCGCAACAGGCCCGTTTGGCTGCTTTTGGTGAGCATTCGGAGAAACATGGTGCCCAGGGTTTTCGCAATGGGCGCGATTTTTTCTTCCGAAAACACGTTGCAAGCCCACCGGCTATTTATATGGTTTCGGGAACACCAGCCTCTTATATTTTCAAATCGCACGACTGTTGGATGATTCTGGCATGCGCGCGACGACGCGCGCGCGTGAACTGGCTCATGTTCGGCGAGGGTTTTTGAACAGTTCGGACTTTGAAGACACGGGCGCATATGACTGTTTGTGAAAGGTGGCAAGGGAGCGAGGGCTCGATTGAAAACCCCCAAGGGAAGATGCGAACTCAAATTCAAATTGATAGAACAAATGGTTTGGGATAGACGGACAGAATTCTTGGCCAATTGCCCAGCCCCAGGGTGGCCGAAGAACTTCGGAAAAGGGGGGGACTTCATTTCTCTCATTGCAGGAGGTGCCCTGGTATTCTGTCCACACCGCGCAGCGAAAGTTACGCGACCCATGCGGCGCAGCGGGGGCGGTGCAGCATCGGCTCTGCAATCTACGTTGCGCAATCTGGTTCAATCAATGTCGTGCGTTTCGCGTTGCGCGATCGACGTGGCGCAATCCACGCGGCGAAGCTTTTGCGCTTGAAACTGACTCTCTCGCGAAAAACCACATCTCATGCCCGCGCAAGCGCCCCGCGCACGCGCCCGAGAATTGCGGTTGCAAAACCTCTGCGGCGGCGTTCGCGCAGAGTGTTCTGCGCCGGGTGGCGCATCGCAGCGGCGCGCAAACCTGCGGGCTCGATCGCGCGCGGAGCGGCCGGCCAATCTGCCGGCGCCTCGCAGGCCGCGCTGGCGCGCGGGCGCCTTAGCGCGAATCGGCGACTCGGGCGGGCGCAGCCGCGGCGCCGCCGGCGACGGCAGACGCGGAGACGATCGCAACGATGATTTGGTCTGTGGCGGCAAGGCCAACGATGGCGCCGACGCTGACCGCGCCGGCGACGAAAATGACGCCCGCGCGTCAGCGATGAAAGTGCGAGGCGGATTTCAATGAGCGCGCGCGGCTGGCGCGCGCGGATCTCATTTGACTGGGGTCGCGTTTCCCACCCGGCGCGCGCGCGCGTTGGCGTTCGGATGATTTCGACGCGCGCGCGACATGGGCCCGCTTGGTCG